CCAGGTGAAGCAAGAAGACCTCCCTCCAGGGGAGGAGCCACCAAAGGTACACCCTGCACAACTAGGAAGGTCACTGCAGTTCAAGGGGTTACCCCGGGGTTCCCTGAAAACACAGGCAAGTACTCGAGTCCTTTGAGCTATTTCCCTGGCCTTCAGATCTGTAAGCAAGATCTTCAGGTGATAAGGACATTGAAGATTGAGACGCACTCTACTAAAAATCTCTTCCAGTTCTTAAATGCTATGATTTCAGACCCACCTCAATTCTTTCGCTTCACAGCGTGAGGGGGGAAATGAACAAAAATGTACCATTTTATTTTATTTTTTCCCTTTCCTTAATCCTAACCTCCACTCTTAATTTATCACATCCAACAGTTCTTAGGCAACACAAGTGGGGCAGCACTGACACCTGGTGGTCTTGATCGAGTAAATTTAATCTTCCTTTTCACCCCGAGGAGTGGAGAGAAGGCAGAGGGGCTGAAGACTCTGTTATGAATTAGATAAGAGAATCAAACAACCTACAGTGACTGAACTAAAGTAATTATCAGATGATCTGAGCCTGCAACCAAGTCATGTCATATTTCAAAGGGCACTGGTTTTTTTCTCTTTTAATTATATATGACATTATATTTACCTTTACCTTTATTATATACACTCCGGGCACAAACTCCTTTAACTGATATCTGGATATACCATGGTTTTCAATCTTTGACACCTGCCAACCTGCTCAGGCCCACAGCGGTATACATACTCACTACAAGGACTATGGTTTCTACTCATCACATACACTTGACCCCTTTTACACTCCACTCACCTCCCCATTTTCTCTTTCCCTCTCATAATCACTATTCTGTCTTTTTTTAAAGAAAAAAAAACGTTTTTTACTTACTTATCTAATTTGTTCAATTAGATTTTCTTTATGTCCACATATGAGTGAAATCACACAGTATTTTTTGTTATTTATTTTTACTAAGCACAATACACTGGTTCAAATCATCTACTTGTTGCACATAGCTGGATTTCATCTTTTTTATACAATTGGCTAGTAGTGCCTATATATGTATACATAAGGTAAAGGTAAAGGTAAAGGCCCTCCCATTGTTCGTCGATTTGCTCGAGTGGGCCCAGTAACGTCTCCATTGGAGACTTTGTTGTTACTGTGTTTGGCATATCGAATACGTCACAGGGAGCTCACCAGGCTCTGCCGTGCGGGCGAGATACTCTCGGTAGCTTGCCGGGCTCTCCGAGAGGGGCGGAGGAATCGAACTCGGGTCGGCCATGCTGGCTGCGTGCAAGGCAAACGCCCTACCGATGTGCTATCGCTCCAGCCCTATGTATATATTATATATAAGTATGTATGTATACATACATATATATAATTAAGGAAAGTTTTATAATACCTAGTAAAATGTAGCATTAGTGGGAAATGTTAGTTCTGAGTTAAGATTTTTCCTTTTAACCTTAAAACAAATCAACAGGGGCTGAAGAGATAAACAGTGATTAAGACACTTGCCTTGCATATAGCCAACCTCAACTCCCAGACATCATATAATACTGAGCAGTACCATGATCCCTGAACAGAGCCAGAAGTAAACACTTAGCACCACTGTGTGCCCAAAAACCAAAATCAACAAAATTGTGACAGACACCCGGGCCCCCGATCCTCAATCTGAATTCTGCCAATAAACTTCAAATTTTCCGGGGGCTGGAGCAATAGCACAGCGGGTAGGGCGTTTGCCTTGCACGCAGCCAACATGGCCGACGCGGGTTCGATTCCCAGCATCCCATATGATCCCCCGAGTACTGCCAGGAGTGATTCCTGAGTGCATGAGCCAGGAGTAACCCCTGAGCATCGCCAGGTGTGACCCAAAAAAAGCAAAAAAAAAAAAAAAAACTTCAAATTTTCCAAGGAAACCTTAGTAATGTGACAACTTTCTCATCCCAAACCAGAGAGTTTCTGATACATATTCACCAGTCCCAGCTCACCCACTCTCTGCTGACATCTAACACCTTGTCTAATGGTCAGACAATAGAGAGCAACATCCCATTTTCCCTCGGGAACTTTCCCTGACTATTTGGAACCCCTTCAACTTTTCTGCTTTTCTCTGAGGAGCGAGTGAAGAATATCGATCACAGAGGAAAATAAATCCTTATAAGTGCCCTAACCAGAGGAGCAGAACCAAAGGAATATTCCTTTCTGAGCACTCCACCTTATGACGAAAGCCAAACACCAGACCAGCTGTCTTGGGGACTCTTGGTTTCTCCTATCTGTCTGCTGTTCATCATCCTCCACCTGTGGAGGTATATGCTTTGCCTTTACTTTCATTTTTAAGACATTTAATTGTGCCTAAGAGAAGACAGAAAAGTGTAGGCTGACACAAATTGTCGAGATGGGCTCTAAAGAGGTATATTAACAAGAGAAAAAGTCTATTTTGAGTACCATGCATGCAGCCAATCTGGTTTCAAATCCTGGTATACCCAAGCACCGCCAGAAGTGATTCCTGAGCACAGAGCCAGGAGTAACCCCTAAGAATCACTGAGTGTGACCAAAAAGTCCAAAACAAAACAAAACAAAACAACTGCTTGGAGTAATAGTACAGTGGTATGCCTTAAACTTAGGGGATTTGAGTTTTCCAGCATCCCACAGGGTCCCCTGAACACCGCTAGGTGTTATTCCTGACTGCAGAGCCAGGAGTAAGCCGGGTACATTACCAGGTGTGACCAAATAACAAAAAGCAAACAAAAAAAAAACCCTGTTTGCTTGGGCCTTGCTCTTTTCCTCTCTGAGGTGAAACAAAGCTACCCCCACTTTTCTCATTGGTGCTTAGAGAATGCTCGGTAGACTCTGTCAACCGTCCCTGCGACTCCCATAAATATTACCCAGAATACAGTCCAGCCTCTGCCCTTCCTTTAAGCACATACCTTAAGTCTCTGAAATTAGTCTGGTAAATTCTATAGCCCTCATTGTTTATCTTCTCCTTTGCTTTGGGCTGTTTCCAAACAAGATCTGGAGCCAAGAGTCCCAGTATCCTGGGTAAACACCTTTCTTCCTTCCTTTTCTTAGGTTTCTCAAACCCTCTTGAACCTAACTAAAGCCCTGGGGATTTCCCACCAACTGCCTTCTATCTCCTTTCTTAATAAACTCTGTAGCCAAATTAACCAGGCCACAGCCACCTTCCTGAGGAATAAGAAGGCTAGTTTTTTGGCCACAGGGGCAGTGTTTTATGCAAAAGAGAACAGTTGCTCTTTCATTCTCTCTGCCTCCTAACTTATGGGGCCACAAAATTATGGGAAACTGTTAACAGAGTGAGGACAGAACAACTTCCCAAAGAACACTACTATTCCAAGGAACACACTATCACTGCTGATATTGTACCAAGGGGAAAGAGACCAGATCATTCCATCTCTGCCCACCCTTAGAACTCACTTTCCAACTAGACAGCAAGACAGAAAGCATAACTGAAAAAGTAAATCCAAATAAGAATAAAAACTCTTAAGAAATCAAAACACAGGGACTAGAATGATAGTACAGTGGGTAGACTGCTGGCCTTGCACAGGGCAAACCCGGTTCAATCCCTGGTACCCTATATGGTCCTGAGCCCGACAAGGAGTGATCCCCTGAGCACAGAACCATAAGTAAGCCCTGAGTACCAGCAAATGTGGCCCAAAATCCAAGGGAAAAAATGAAATCAGAGTCCAGAGGGATAGTACAAGCAGGTAGAGCATTTGCCTTGCATGTAGCCAACGTGAGTTCAATCCCTGACATCCCATATGGTCCCTTGAGCACCACCAGGAGTTATTCCTGAGTGCAGTCAGGAGTAACCCCTGAGCATCACCGGGTGTAGCACAAAACAGAGAGAGCGAGAGCGAGAGCGAGAGAGAGAGAGAGAGAGTGAGAGAGAGTGAGAGAGAGTGAGAGAGAGTGAGAGAGAAGGGAAGGAGGGAGGGAAGGAGGTGGGGAAAGGAGGGAGGGAGGGAGGGAGCAGAGGGGAAGCAAAGTACAAAAATACATTGGGAGGTAGGGAGGCAGAAAGGAGGGGAGGCCCAAGTGCCGGAGAACAGACCTACCACTGGATAAAGAAACTATGGTACACCTACATAATGGAAGACATGCAGCTGTTAGGAAAAATGAAATTTGCTTATAAATGGATGGACATGGAGAGTATCATAATGAGTGAAATGAGCCAGAAGGAGAGGGACAGATAAAGAATAACTGCATTTATTTGTGGGATATAAAAAATAGTTTGAGACTAATATTCAAGGCTAGAAAAAAAAACAGAGGCCAGGAGGGGACTGGTCAATGGTTGTAAGCTTGCCACAAGTGTATAGAGGTTTAGTAAAGGGCACTTAGGATTGAGAAAGAATCAGTATAACAGTAAGTGTTAGAAATTATCACCCTGGACAAGAACTGATAATTGAAAGTAGGTAAAGGGATATACCTTTTAGAATCTGTAGTTCAAACCATAACGCCCAAAAGGAAACAGAGAGAGGGAGAGAGGGAAAGGAGGAGAGAGAGAGAGAGAGAGAGAGAGAGAGAGAGAGAAAGAGAGAGAAGTGCCTGCCACAGAGGCAGGGGTCAGGAGGGAAACTGGGGACACTGTAAGTGAGAAATGTACACTGGCGAAGGGACAGGTGTTAGAACATTATACAACCAAAATCCAATCATGACCAAACTTGTAACTGTGTATCTCACTGTGACTCAATTTTAAAAAAAATTTTTTTAGTTCGCATCACAAGGAAAAAGAAAAAAGGAGGGGAGGAAACAAGTATTCCTGCCAAGTTATCAGTCACCTTCTTATGTTCTTAAGATTGCTTTTTTTCTTTTGTTTGACCATATTTACTTCCCAGATTCCAGTAAAACACGTGACTCAACCTGCTCCCTCACTAGGCCAGCGTCACTTAGCTCGTCTTGCCCTCTAAGAGGAACACTGGCCTGAGATTAAAGCACAGCCTCCAAGCACCACAACCAGAGCCCTCTCAGGCAGGAGGGAGTCTCCACACGATCTTCAAGGGGCTGATAGGAGCACCACCAGTCACAATGAAAGTTCTCATCACTTCCTTTCTTCTGCTGCTGCCACTAATGCTGACGTCCATAGTCTCCGGCCGCCCAAATTCAGGTAAAAAAAAAAAAAATATATATATATATACATTTATTTTCTATGAAGAAGGGGAAGAGAGAAGAAAATGTGGCCCCAAAGAGCATTAAAGCATAGCTTCCTTCAGCTACATGAATTTGGAGCATTGGCTATCTCAGTGCCCATTTCTTAACTTATAAAAAGAAGAGTTATATGAAAATATTCAAAACTATAAGGTAAAAAGGTAAAGGCCCTCCCGTTGATCGTCGATTTGCTCGAGCGGGCCCAGTAACGTCTCCATTGGAGACTTTGTTGTTACTGTGTTTGGCATATCGAATACTCTCGGTAGCTTGCCGGGCTCTCGAGAGGGGCAGAGGAATCGAACTCGGGTCGGCCATGTTGGCCGCTTGTAAGGCGAACGCCCATTAAAAACTGGCTCAATCAAGATTTGCTGATATATTTTCTCCCCAATCTTTTTTTCTGACTAGAATTTCTCTATCTTGGTGGCAGTGGAAGGAATGTATTACAGACAACTATAGATCTGTAGACAAGGAAGTATTGCTTCTTTATAATAATGCAACAATTTTTACTGCTATTTAATAATGAATAAAACAGAAAATTCTTATCACCAGATAGTATCCAAACTTGAAGCTTTAGCCATACTCAGTTCTATTTTAAAAGTTTATCTTTTACCAGCCTAATCAATGGCTGAATAAACAGCAATACTCCTACATTAAAAAAAATATATTTTACAAGCAGTCCTTTTTCTTTTTTCCATTTTTAATTTTTGGGCCACACCCAGAGGTGCTCAATTTATTCCTGTCTCTTTGCTCAAGGATCAATTCTGGAGGGCTTGGGGGACCACATGGAGTGCCAGATATTGAGCCCCAGTCCACGGCATGCAAAGAAAGTGCCCTACCTGCTATACTATCACTCTGGCCCTAGAAAACAGATCTTTACTAGGGGTTCTGAATCTGCTCCAGTTTTCTTTATAGCTGAAGTAATCTAGTCCTTACCAAAACCATGCAGAAAAGAATTCATCTCCACCTTTATTTCTACCCAGAAAATCAATCATCTCTCCATAAGGACTATTTTAAAGTATTGCCAGAGCAAGAGTACAGTGGTTAGGACATTTGCCTTGTATAAATTTTATTATAGGATGGACACATTATAGAATATTTAATATTCTCAAAAGTCCAATATCAATAAGTGGTATTTTCTTCCTAAGACAATAAAACAGTCTATAAAAGTCTACAACTTATTTATTGTTGGAAAGTGGTGGTAGCTTCAGGATCTGAATCTAGGTTTTCCTGAATTCAAGACTGGGTCTAAAAGTTCAGCTGAATCTAAATGTTGGTCAGGAGAGATAGTACAGTGGTAAGGCACTTGCTTTGCACCACTGACCCAGGTTCGATTCCTGGCATCCCAAACGGTTCCCTGAGCCCCACCAGGAATAATTCCTGAGTGCAGAGCCAGGAGGAAACCCTGAGTATAACCAAGTATGACACCAAAAGCAAAGAAAAAAAAAAAAAAGGTAAGACAACTTTGTTATCTACTTGGTCCTAACATCAGCATTTCACTCTACTCCACCCCAATTCCAAACTTTCCCTCCTTATACAAAGAACTCTCTGGAAGCTGCGGGGTCTCACAGCCCTAGGGCCTAGATTACCATCCTACCATGGAAGGCTTTTTCACTTCTAGACAGCCATCAAGACTAGAGTCTTCAGTTTGGATTCAAAGTTCTAGCCTCAACCTGCCTTTCCAGTCCAACCACCTCCACTCACTTCATGCTTTATGATCCACTTTAGACATTGGCTGGTCCCTCAATTGCTTTTATGCGCCCCCACCAGCTCTACTTTGCTCATACACCCAGCTTAAAACCCATCTCTTCACAGGATCCTTCAATTACTACCACCACCAGATATGAGCACTCCCTCCAGTGAAATGCTGAGTCCCTGAGGCACTTTTTACATGAAGCCCTCTGTAGAAGGTGTTGGTATACTTGTCCTACTTCCACCCATGCCTTTCTACACTGTAACTTCCTTGCTAGCACAATTTTATATAGTTTCCAAATCCCTTATATTTTCCAACAGTCTTCTTAGTAAGTGAAAGAATAATCCCTCAAGCTTCTAAGTTCAAACTGTTGCCCTTTGGGGGCCGGAGTGATAGTACGGCGGGAAGGGTGTTTGCCTTACACGTGGCCGACCCAGGTTCAATTCCCCAGCATTCCATATGGTTCCCTGAGCACCACCAGGAGTAATTCCTGAGTGCAGAGCCAGGAGTAACCCCTGAGCATTGCTCAGGTGTGAACCAAAAAGCCAAAAACAAACAAACAAACAAAAAAACCAAATTGCTGCCCTTTGCAAACTCCAAGGTGATACGGTTTAACAGCAGTCCTGTTGGCTTTCAAGACTATAATTAGCTAACTCTGTTGTAGGAGAGCTATCCTGGGTGTTTTTGGACCACAGCCATCAATGCTCAGGGGCCATATGCAATGCCAGGGATGGAATCCAAGTCCAGCTGCATACAAGGCAAGTGCCTTACCTGCTGCATTATCTCTCTAGTCCCTGGTTACACTTTTTTTGATTGGGGAGAGTTAGGGTCACCCCCCCAGTGGTGCTTAGGGCTTACTCCTGGCTCTGTGTTCGGGGATCACTCTGGCAAGGCTCTAGGGACCTTATGAGGTGCCGGGGATCAAACCCAGGTCAGTCACGTGCAAAGCAAGTGCCTTACCATTGTACTGTCTCTCCGGACTAAAATTTAGATTCAGTTGAACTTTTAGACCCAGTCTTGAATTCAGGAAAACCAAGATTCAGATCCTGAAGCCACCACCACTTTCCAACAATAAACAAGTTGTAGATTTTTATAGACTGTTTTATTGTCTTAGGTTAAAAATTATCTACCACTGTTACTGTGTTTGGCATATCGAATACATCATGGGGAGCTTGACAGGCTCTGCCATGAGGGCGAGATACTCTCGGTAGCTTGCCGGGCTCTCTGAGAGGGGCGGAGGAATCGAACTCGGGTTGGCCATATTGGCTGCGTGCAGGGCAAATGCCCTACCCGCTGTGCTATCGTTCCAGCCCACGCAGCCAATATGGCCGACCCAAGTTCGATTCCTCCGCCCCTCTTCGAGAGCCCGGCAAGCTACCGAGAGTATCTCGCCCGCACGGCAGAGCCTGGCAAGCTACCCGTGATGTATTTAATATGCCAACCATAGTAACAACAAAGTCTCCAATGGAGATGTTACTGGGCCCGCTCGAGCAAATCGATGAACAACGGGAGGACAGTGACCCAGTGACCCAGATTAAAAATACAACTTATTATATGGGACTTTTGAGAATATTAAATATTCTATAATGTGTCCCTCCTAAGGCTCAATAAATAATAAAATTTCTGAAGTAGCTCTTAAAGCACAGATGATAAACTGCAGAAAGTGCACTGTGCCACCAGGTGGCGCTATAAAAACCATCTCCACGGTGGCTGCCACTAGTTTTAATTCCCTGCCAGATTTAGTTTTGAAATCTTAGAAGTACAGCTAGAGAAAATACACCCCCAACCCTGCTCCCAATCTCAAAATTTTCTAAATAAAACATGATCTTAATTTCTTAAAATCTCTCTTAAAAATAATGCATTACCACATACTATGCTCAATGTTTCATGGGGGAAAATAGATGAGAAAATCAGGAAATTATATATATATGATTAATTATAAGAGTACATATAATACTCATATGTATGTATAAAGTACCCCTATGTGCAGTTTTAAGCAATACACATATTCTCTCGTATCCTTTTAGAATTCTAATTTTTTTAATTTTTCAAACTTTAAAAAATGCTATAAAAATATCAGTGTAAAATTATCAGTGTTCCATTATCTCCTTCATCCAGGTATTTTCAAATACCATCTTGTATAACCACAATGTAATTATTAAAAACATAAAATTAGGGGGCCAGAGCAATAGGACAGCAGGTAAGGTACTTGCCTTGATCCAGATTCCATCCCTGGCACCCCAGATGGCCCCCCAGGCACCACCAGGAGTGATCCCTGAGCATCACCAGATGTGTCTCAAAATCCAAAGCAAAGATAGGCTCTCTAAGCTACTCCTCTATTTCTTCAGGTCGTTTAGCTCTGCTTTACAAATTAAGTAACTAAGGTGAAGAAAAGTTAAATAATTTGTCCTAAAATTCATAAGAAACATGTAGTGGAAATAGGGGATCAAAATCATGATTCTAACAATGTTTAACAAATAGAAATAACTTCTTTACACACACAAGTCTGCATAAAATAATAACCTTCATATTCCAGTATGGATTTTCTCTGGGAAACTAGTAGAAGTCTGTAGTAGCAGCCTCAATAGCAACCAGCATGTACTTACCAACTGCTCAGGCACCAAGCGCCCACTCTAGATCGTTTATTGAGGCTAATCAGTCTCCTAGTGGGACTGCAAAATGGATGTTATTGTCCTCATCTTATAAATCAAAGAACCAAGAAGTAAAAAGTCAACAGACTTTCCAATACTTCATATATGTAAGAACAGGTAGTTTACTCCAGGACTAACTGCTCTTAACCAATTGTTTGCAAGTTTGTTACATCATGTTAGAAAAAACACATACATTGATGGAACCCATAATCTTAGAGTTGAGGTTGCATAGGGTGAGGTGACTTTGTGAATTAAATTTATTTTTAAAAAGGCTTCAAGTAAATCATAGTACAAGCTATAACAAAAGTCAAAGGCGGTACCTTGATCTTTTTTGTGATGCATCATAAATAAATATACACATATACATATATCATGACATAGAAAACTGCCTCACTTTCAGTTTCTTTCTTTTTTCACTCCACATTTTATTTATTTTTTTTTATTTACTGAATCACCATGAGAGCAGTTACAAAGCTTTCGGGTTTAAGACTCTGTCATACAATAATGAAACATCCGTCCCTTCACCAGTACACATTTCCCACCAACAACAACCCCAGTATACCTCCCATTCCACACCCTCCCCCTACCTGTATGGCAGATGATGTCCACATTACTCTCTCTCTTCTTTGATTACATTCTCTATTTCGACACCAGCCCCACCATTGTTATTTGAGATTTTTTCCCAACACTCAAGACTGATGAAAAGGCAACATAAGATATTTTGTTTCCTATTGCGAATTATGAATAGAATACGATTTTGGAATTCTGGAATTTTAATAATTAAATCTGAAGGGGTTTCTGCCAAAAGCCACTGGGTTTCGAGATTTGTTTCTGAGTCTCTGGGATCATAGCCGTTCAGCAACTCAATCAGAAGGCAGAGAGGCTCACTTTCAGTTTCAACACAAGTAAGGACATGGTAAAGAAAGAACAGACTAAGAATCCTGAACCTGGAGGCCAGAGCAATAGTACAGTTGGTAGGACGTTTGTTTTGCATACGGTCAACCCAGGTTCAATCCCTGGCATCTCTTATGGTCTCCTGAGTATCACCAGAAGTAATTACTGAGTACACAGCCAGGCATAACCCCGAGCATTCCCTGATGTGACCAAAAGAGGCTTAAAAAAAAAAAAAGGAAAAAAGAAATCCTGAACCTGGATTCTAGCTCTAGATGTGTCACCATGTCACCATTAACATTGTGAATTTGGCCATTTCACTCACTCACTCTGGATCCTCACTCTGGATCTCAGTGTATCATCAGAAGAAAAAAAAAATAGTGGTTAAGTTCATTAGTACAACCCTTTGTAAAAACAATTTGGTAAGAACAGAAGAGATAGCTCAAAGGACTAAAGGAAGAGATAGCTCAAAGGACTAAAGGTATGCTCAGGGCCCCAAATTCAATCCCTAGCACTTCATGGCCACGTGTAGCCCTGCTAGCCCTCAAGAGGGGCTGGAGAGATACTATAATGGATAAGACACTTGTCTTGCACCCAGGCTCAACCCCTGGCACACTATCTGATTCCCCCCAAGCCCACCAGGAGTCATCCCTGAACACAGAGCCAGCAGTGAGCCTTGAGAACTGTTGGGTGAGGCTTAAAAACAAACAAAAAAATAAAAAACTGGTGCCTCCAGCACCACTGCGTGTAAGCATTAAACTGCCTGACTAAGATGGTCAAGTGTTACTGGGGAGTGACCCTGAACATTGTTTGGGAATCCCTCAAAAAACAATTTGGTAATAATATCAAAAAACAAAAACTGTTCTCAACTTTTGACCCAGTATTTCCACTTTGAGAAATCTTGTCTAAGAATAGTTAAAATATAAAAAAAAAAGTTGCAAGCACAAGGAAACTTGCCAATATCCGAAAATAAAACAATCTAAATATTCAAAGTTAATTTTGAGCTTACATACTTTTTAAAAGTTATACAATTATTAAAAATATCTCACTTCAAAGATGACATAGCAATATGTTTATAAAGTGGAAGAACCGGTATTCATATATATAGTTATCACTCTAAAGAAAATTATATGCAGAAAATACACCAACATGTCAAAATTGGTAGTAGTAGATAGTATTTCTATCATCCAATTTTTCTATGTTTCTTTTACATTTAGGAGAGGGGAAAAACCTCCAATAAAGAGTTTTGACTAATAATCACCAAGGAGTCTCCTGACTCTAATATTTTGTGGCTTTTCTTTAGAACTAGGAGAAGAGGTCAGATGAGAGTAAAACATTTAAAAAGTTCAGAGGGCAGGAGATATGCCTTTAAAATTATTTTAACAGCACCCAAAACAGCACATGAGAACATTTGGAAACCAGTTCTTGGGAAAATGATGCAACACCTTCCATCATGTGGCAGAAAGGGCAGGAATCGGGAAGGAGGAGATATGAACTAAATCATATGATTTGTAGAGGGTCTCAATAAATAACTTGCCCATCCACTTATTATTTCTGTGTGTGTGTAAGGATCAAAACTCTAAGCCTCTTAACTGTGAAGCATGTAGCTTATCACCAGCCACATCTTCAGCCCAAACTACTTATTGGACTGTGTCTGCCACGTGTCAGTAACAATCTAGTTGAATGACCATTGAGCCATTGGTTCAGAGTCTAGTGAAGGAGAAAGGTGTTTTGTTTCCTAGGGCTACTATAAATAAATACCATAAGATTCTGTGGCTTAAACATCAGGAATGTATTTTCTCCCAGTTCAAGAAACTAGAAGTCCAAAATCAAGATGGCCACAAATGTAGTTTCTTCTGAGGTCTCTCTCCCTAGTTGCAAATGGTCTCGTTCTCATTCAAACATCATGCCTCCATGCATGTACAGTCCTGGTATGTTCAAATTTCTTATAAGTATTCCTGAGGGATTGAATTAGAGCCTACCATAATGACCCAATTTTATCTCGATTTCTTCTTTAGAGACCCTAACTTGGGGCCAGAGCAATAGTACACTGGGTAGGATGCTTGCCTTGTATGTGGCCAACCCAGGTTCCATCCCCGGCATCCCATAAGGTCCCCAGAGCCCTGTCAGGCATGATCCCTGAGTGCAGAGCCAGGAGTAAGCCCTGAACACCACTGGGTGTGACCCCAAAACAAAACAAAAACCAAAAGACCCTATCTCTAAATATAGCCATTCTGAGGTACTTGAAGTTAGAACTTTAACATATATTTGTGGGAACACACAGTTCAGTTCCCAACAGATATTAAGCCACTATGAATTTAGCCATGTGGTAACAGAGGTGCATTCAAACATAATAAGGGATCATGTGAAGGCAAAGTAATTCTGACAAGAAGCATCAGAGACATTCCTTCCCTGGAAATATTATTCCTCTCAAATAAAACTTCCTCTAGCAACTACAGTTAAAACTCTAGACTCAGTGGGCTAGAGATATAGTATACCAGGTTGGGCATTTGCCCTGCATGCATCAATCTGAGTTTTGTTTTGTTTTGTTTTTTTACCAATCTGATTTTGAACCCCGGTACCACATATGGTCCCCTGAGCCCCACCAGGAAGATCTCTGAACACAGAACCCAAAGGAAGTCCTGAGCACCCCCAGTTATGATCCCCAAAACAAAACAAAACTCTAAACTCAAGTCTTTAAGCTACCATCGTTGATTGTTTTACAATACATATTATCATAAAATGAGAATGAAAAATCATCAGAGGATGAAACAGACTTGTATAGAGGGGAAAGAATAATTAATTTTTCTCCAGGGTAAATATCCTCATAGTTGAACTGGGGTTACGGAATTAAATACAGCAAACTTGAAGGTCAAGTTAATATCCTGACTGCTTTATGGATAATCTGTTTCTGTCCCTCATTCTTAAGTCAGGAGGATTTTAAAGTGTGTGGGGGGGGGGGGGAGGATAAGGCCTTGATTAACATCCACATTGTATTCTCACTTACATCCAAGAATCCATTTTTTTCTTCACCTGCTTCTAGCTAAGGACTCCCCAAGACTGGACTTTAACTCTCAATTCCTTATTCATCTAAATATTCCCCTCTTGAGGGGAGAATGAAAAATAAATTAACTAAATAAATGTTAACTCTCTTAAAGCTCCCTAGATCCCTAGACAAAAACAGAAGAGTAACAAAATTACACTGATCTATGTAGCACAATGCCAGGGACCATTTTTGTTGGCCCCTTGCATTTCCAGCAGTTGGAAGTAATGTTTCCTTCCAACAGGGGTCGCCAGAGGTTATAAGGACCAACGCCAGCGATCTGGGAGGTGGCTCCAGGAAGGTGGCCAAGAATGTGAGTGCAAAGGTCAGTAATTCAATATCAACAACAGTAATGTACCATCACAACCCCACTTCTTCCCCTTGGAGTCCCTATGAGACCAGTGCAGATGTTATCTGAGCTGACCTCACCCATTTCCCTTTCCACCAACACACCACATAAGCACCAACATTTGCTTGCTTTCTGGGTGGGACTCTTCGAGTTCCAGAGGAGAACTGGCTAAATCTCTGTCTGTGCCACACACACTGGCCTTTACTATTGATGCCCAAGAACCAAAGGCTGCCTGTAAAATGCTTCCTGAAAGGCCAGAGTGATAGTTCAAACAGCTGGAGTACTTACTCTGCATGCAGAAGTCCCAAGTTTGATCCCTGACACTCCATCCCGGATCCAATCTCCAGGCACCCAGCTGGAAATAAGCCCCCAGTACCATTGATTGTGGCCCCTAAAAATAAAATATGCTAGGGGCTGGGGATATAGTTCAGTAGTAAAGTGCATGTCTTGCACTCAGAAGACCTGGGTTCAATCCCCAGCACCTATAAAAGGAAAAAGGAAAAAGTTTCCTGATTCTTACACTCAATCTTAGTTTACTCTCAAGAAATATTTTTTAAAAGGTAAACTGATTTGCATGAGGTAAATCACACTAAAAAACAGACACCCAGAGTCTAGTCCTCATTTTTAGTCTTCCTTAAGATATTCTGATGATCCCTCCTGCCACCAAAGGCTTCCCTGTACACATGGGACAAAACTCAAAAGTCCGGGTGTTTGTATAACTAGATGCCCGTCGTTCTATGTCAACCCTTTCTCCCACTCTTACTGAAGTGTGAAAAAAAGAACTGAGAGTCAGAAAGATGGTAAGTAAGCCCTGTCCTGCTCCCTACTTTCAAATATACTGCATCTCAGAAGCAATCTCATTTTCAGATTGGTTCGAGAGAGCTTCCAAAAGGAAACTCATGGCAGTGACTGCGCTGCCAAAGAAGCAATGTCCCTGTGATCATTTCAAGAGCAACATGAAGAAAACCCGTAAGTTTCTAAAGAATGACCTTCCTTAAGCCAGATCACTCTGTAGAATCAACTTGGTGCAATCAAAGATTGAGAACAGATGAAAAATGTAAAATGAGGACCCGGATAAACATATATCTCAGCTCTTTCTAGCCAAGTTCAACTTGTGGGGAAAAGGGAAAGAAGGATGTGGTGCTCCTGATACTAGAACAGTATAACCAAACTGTTAGATTTTAGAACCCCACTGCTTATCAAAGTGGAAGGAGATAGGGCTGCTGGGGGGACCTGATTATTGAACTGACACCAGTGTCAACCAAAGGTTGATTCCTGATTCCTAGTCCGCAGTTTTTAAGTGTCACTGAAAAAGTAAATCGGCAAATGTCAAGCTAATGTTTTCAAAAATGAGATAAAGGAGACAGTATAGCAGGTAAGGCACATGCCTTGTACACAATCAACACAGGTTCAATCCTCAGCTCCCCATGTGGTCCCCTAAGCAACACTAGGAATAAACCTAAGCACAGGACCAGGAGTAAGCCCTGAGCACTATAGGGTATGGCTTAAAAGCAAAACAAAAAAGAATGAGATAAAGCAGGATTTTCATCCTTGTTGACAGACATAAAATATGATTTGCCAATAACTATCAAAAGTCTATATGTGAGAAATTTTTAACTCAATTTCAATAAATTTCAATAAATTTCTAAGTGGGCAAGGGGATTAACTCAGAGCTCTGGGTTTAGTCCCTTATGCCAGGGACTAAACCCTCTAGCACCTCCTGGAGTGGCCCCTGAGCACCACCAGGTATGAACCCCACACCAAAACAAGTGTCTAGATACTCAAAGATATACAAGAGTATCAATTATTTGTATTTGTATTGACAAAATGGATATTTAAATATTCACGTTAACTAGAGATTATTTTTCAATAAATACAAGTGGCAAATCATTATGGTCTAGTTAATGTTATATGTCAATTACACCTCAGTTACAATACTTTATCAAAAGCAAATTGGGCAGTTGTCAAAAATACTGAGGTAGAAAAAATTGGAGCAATAGTACAGTGTGCAGGGTGCTTGTCTCGCAAGCAGCCATCCTAGGACTGATCTCTGGAGCCCTTTATGGTCCCCTGAATCTACCAAAAGTGATTCCCGAGTGCAGAGCCAGGAGTAAGTCCTGAGCACAGCAGTGCCCACCAACCCACCCCTCAAAAAAAGAAAAAACTAAGTAAATGTTTTCTATCTTCTCTACCTCAATCTCAGAAGTCTTTTGGGAGGCCAAAGCAGTACAGCGGGTAGAGTGTTTGCCTTGCACACAGATGACCTGAGTTCTATTCCTGGCATCCCATATAGTCCCCCAAGCACCACCAGGAGTAATTCCTGAGTGCAGAGCTAGGAGTAACCCCTGAGAATTTCCACGTGTGACTCAAAAAGAAAAAAAAAGTCTTTTTTTAACTCAGTTTTCTTGCTGCTTTTCTGTCAGCTTATATTCCCTCACAGGACAGCATGCTGACTTTATATTAAAGTTCTCTCAAATGTGAACTCCCTGGCTGCTGAACTCTTTTACTTTGTGGGTTGCTTTTTTTGTTTGTTCAATGTAACTAAATCCTATATGTCATCCAAATATTTATCGCCAATGAATTTTATTCAGTCCCTGAAGAGTTCTTTCCAAGTTGCTAAAATTATTAAAATGATGGGACCAGAGTAATAGTACAGCAGGTAGGATACTTGCCTTGCACACAGCCGACCAAGGTTCTCTCCCTGTTATCCCACAGGGTCCACTGAGCCTGCCAGGAGTAATTTCTGAGCACAGAGCCAGGTGTAACCCCTAAGCATTGTTGGGCATGGCCTCAAAACCAAAATATATATATTAAAATTATTTATGTTTATAACTTATTATATTTAGAGTGACTTAGAACTCTAATGCTATTTTTAAATTTTATTATAGTTTAGATTGTGTGTTTATAATACTTCTTAGAGATAACTACTATTGTTTGCTATGTAATTGTCATGTCTGTACGTATATAAACACAATGGTTATTTTTTAAAAATGAAATTATAGGGTTCTGAAGAGGTAGTACAGCAGGTAAGGCACTTGCCATGCATGCAGCCAACCTGGGTTTGATTCCTGGTACCCCATATGGTTTCCCCCAAGCACTGCCAGGAGTAATTTCTGAGTGCAGAGGCAGGAATCACCCCTGAGCATCACCAGGTGTGACCCAAAAACTAAAAAGAAAAAAATCATACTGGATCTAGAATGAGAGTGGAGCAAACAGTGTGCTTGCCTTGCATGTAGCTGACCCAGGTTTAATCCCTGGCTCCCTATACAGTCCCCTGAACCCTGCCAGGAGTAAGCTCTGAGCACAGTCAAGAGTAAGCCCTGGGCATCACTAGATGTGCGCCCCCCGCAAAAAAAGAAAAATAGAAAAGAAAAATGCTATTATACTACATGTATTGCTTTTCTCTTTTCTCTTTTCTCCTTTTAACAAGTCTTGTATTAATGAAAAATATTACATATTTATAGATATTCATTAAAATTTACATGTGCACCTCAATATTTATAATTTAGATATATATATGACTACTACCAATACCTAGCAATACCATATTGTCAACAACCCCCCTTTCTGATTACCATCCCTCTCTCCCAACCCCCAGAGATAAACTAACTTTCTTCTTTTGCTTTTTGTTGTTGATTTGTTTTCGGGTCTCAAGCAACTGTGCTCAGGGCTTTTTCTAGCTCTGCACTTACACTCCTGGTGAGGCTTCGGGAACACCAATTGGTGCCAGGGATTGAACCCAAGTGAGCTTCATGCAAGCCAAGCTTCATGCACGGCCCACTGCTGTGTCTCTAAAACTCTAGCATTAAACCGTGGCCCAGATGGTTGAGTATTGCTGAAGTAGGTCTCAGACCTTTAGGAGACCCCTTCAAATATTCCATTTTGACAGGCCAGGGAGATAATTCAAAAGGCTGGAGCACTGAAAGCCAGGATTCAGTTCCTGGCCCTCCCAACAATGGCCAGGAGTGATCCCCAAACACCAACCTGAGAGTAGCCCCTAAGCACCACCAGATATGACCTAAAAACAAACAAAAATCAATTCTGAAATTATTTTTAACACTAATCTCTCTCCTTTATTTCCACTCTAGGACACCAAAGGCACCACAGGAAGTCAAACAAGCGCTCCAGGGACTGTCAGCAATTTCTCAAAAAATGTCAGCTAGCAAGCCTCTCTTTGCCTTTATAAGAGTTCTGAGACTTCACTCTCCCAATTATATATTCTCATTCAAGAAGGCCATGGGGGCACCTAGCAAATGTTCTCCCCTCTAAAGCTCCCGTTCCGTCTCTACTCCCAAAATCATTTCAATCTGCTCAAAGCATTTTCCCACAAATCACTGCTCCTTCAATCACCTCCTGTGAGTCTTCTGCGGAGCTCCCCCTTTTACCGGTTTAAGCTTAATGACCAGAAAACAGTGAGGAAATTCCCCTTGACCTTACATATAAACCAAATAAGTAGCAAATAGAATAATCGTTTTCAAGTGTAGTAAGTTAAAATCATTCTTTCAAGTGGGGTGTAGCAACTTACATTGGATCCAGATGATCTCCTTTACTTTACCCCCTTCAAACTAAAGCCAGACTTCACACTTACATTTCTCACAGCCATCTCTCATGTGAACCCACAGCCCCTCACACCTTCTCTCTTCCTCTCCTTCTCTCTCCCATGACCAAATTTTTATTCTTTTTCTCATTCAACCAGCTAAAAGCAAGATGGGGAAAAAGAAAGCAGTTACAGGAATCAGGAAATGACTCAAAAAGCTGAAGTGCAAGTTTTGTGCACAGGGGCCACAGGTTTTGTTGTTGTTGTTTTATCTTTGGGGGCCACATCCGGCTGTGCTCAGGGCTTAACTTGCAGTGCTCAGGGGACCATTTAGTTGCTGTACTATCTCTTCCGCCCCAGGAGCCACAGCTTTGGTTCTGGTACTGCATGTTTTCCCCAGGCACCACCAGAAGAGACCCCAAGCACTGCTGGGTGTGGTCCCTCCCCTGCAAAAAAGCAATTGCAGGGGTTAAGGATATATCTCACAGGACTGGAGTGCATGTCTTGCATGCAGAAAATCCCAATAAGAGTCCTCTTACTTCATGCCCTTCCCCAGGTACTACTAGTTGTGGCCCTGGTGTGCACCCACACAACCAGGGCCCAGCACAGCACCAAAATTGGGATGAGCACTAAGGTATCCAATTCATTTGACTGAGTGCCACCAGGAGTGGCCCTGGACCATTAAACATTAGTTGGTAACTCTCCCCACTATGCCCCTTCAAAAAATAGAGAAGGTGACAGCTGGAGTGATAGTAAAGCAGGGAGGGCATTTGTCTTGCATGTGGCTGTCTGGGGTTCGATCCCCAGCACCCCATATTGTCTCAAGCCCTACTAGGAGTAATCCCTGAGTGCAATACCAGAAATAAGCTTTGAGCACATCCCAGTGTGGCAAAAAGAAAGAGAACGAAAGAGAAAGAAAGAAAGAAAGAAAGAAAGAAAGAAAGAAAGAGAGAGAGAGAGAGAGAGGAAGGAAGGAAGGAAGGAAGGAAGGAAGGAAGGAAGGAAGGAAGGAAGGAAGGAAGGAAGGAAGGGAGGGAGGGAGGAAGAAAGGAGGGAAGGAAGGAAGGAAGGAAGGAAGAGGAGGGAGGGAGAGGAAGGAGGAGGAGGGAGGAAGGGAAAGAAAGAAGGCAGTTACAATAATTAATCGGCATGATCTTATTAAAGACAACTTTTTAAAAAAAAATCTGGCACCTGGGAGCCAAGGAGAAAGCTCAAAGAGTGGAGCAGATGCCTAGCGTGTATGAGGCCTGAGTTTGATCTCTGGTACTACATGCCCCAACCCCCTACACCATGAGGGTGGCCCTGGTGTCTCCTGAGCATCACTAACCTAAGTACCAAGCTGCCAGGCCTGCACTACAAGACAAGTTATCACCAGGGGTGGTCCCCTAAGCGGACACATACAAAAAAGAAAGAAAATCTGGCACATAACATACTTTAAATATTTTATTGTTATTGTTATCATTTACAATCTACTCCAGAAGACATCTATGTAGAACCATAGTGAAGGGTTAGAAAGATGCAAAAAATATCAAACACCACAGAAAATTACTTCCAGAAAAAATGGGAGGATATATTTTTCTTTTAAAATGGGCATGAGAGGGGTTGGAGCGATAGCACAGCAGGTAGGGTGTTTGCCTTGCAAGCGGCCAACCCGGGTTCGATTCCCAGCATCCCATATGGTCCCCCGAGCACTGCCAGGAGTAGTTCCTGAGTGCATGAGCCAGGAGTAACCCCTGTGCATCGCCGGGTGTGGCCCAAAAAGCCAAAAAATAAATAAATAAAAATAAATAAAATGGGCATGAGAGAGATGTTTCCAGACCCTGAGCCAGGCTAAGTCTCTGGGGGCTCCCTGGAGGGGGAAGGGTGAGCCTACCACCTGCTGAAATAGAGTCCTAAGCACAGGATCAGGAGCAAGTCCTGAGCACTGTAGGGTATGGCTCAAAAACAAAACAAAAAAGAATGAGATAAAGTAGGATATTCATCACTGTTGATAGACATAAAATATAATTTGCCAATAACTATCAAAAGTCTAATTTAACTCCAGCTGTATCACCCCATTCAAAATTTTTAATTCCTGGAGCAAATGAGGCCATGCAATGGTACTGATGAACCAGGAGTAGTACACCACATTCAAATGGGATGTAAAGTAGAATACAACCAGTTTTGATTAAAAAAATTTAAACACACAAGACTTAACTGGTAACAGCATGTCAGTAAGCTCTTCTATAAGGACTTAATGGCTCCATGGTGAGATAGAACCATATTCACACACCTTCTTCTAAGGAAATATTTGATGATCATTTTTAGTGAATTATAACAAGCAATATAAAATAAATGATTCAGGGCCTGCTATAAGGGTAGGCTTGAAGGATGATTGGTAAAATTGGAAATAATGGTGGTGGTATTGGTGTTGGAACACTGAATGTAATGAAATGTGAACAACTAATAAAAATAAATAAACAAGTAATAATTTTTAAAAGTTTAAAATGGGATGAAATGATCTGAGAGATATGACAAAATTAAGCTGACAATCATTTGAAAGAATAAAGAGGAAACACGTTTCCAAATCTAAAATACAGATCCTACCTGCCTCTCAGATCCTTTCCTTAAATATAAGAAGGGAAAGGAAAAGAAACACTCCGGTGTGTCTTCCCAGGTGAAACAAGAAGCTGGGTTGCTTGATTCTTGAGAAGAAACAGTTAAACTGAGTAGTGACTGGGTAGCACCTATTTATGACACAAGAGGCCAAGCCCCTCCCCTCAGAGACAGAGTGTTGGGCACTCAGCTCCCAGCTGGTCCTAATCCTTGCTCCCCAGCAGGAAGCCGAGAAGTGCATCACGTGCACAGGAGTGGGGGCCAGCAGTGGAGGATCCACTTGTCAACTGCTGTTAAAGGGGGAAGACCAGGTATGCCAGGACCAAAGACTGAAACCAAAGTGAGGTGCCATCATGAGGAATCTGTGACAAAGGACACCTGGGGCAGGGTGAGCCCAGAAGAATGAAACCTGGGAGATCACCGTCTCTTGGGAGGGAAAAAACAGAGGAGACAGAGACTAAGTCAATACCTAGCGCAACCTGGGAACCTGAGTCGCATCAGACACCTATCACGCAGCCTCAGCTTGAGCCAAAAAAGATACCTGAAACCAGCCTAGCATGTGAGACTCAGCAGGGACCTGAAATCAAACAGGAGCCTGCATCTCTGCAAAGAGCCCTCCCTCCCCAGGAATATGAATCTCAACAGGAACCCAGTACCCAATCAAATTCAGTTGGGCACCAGAAGTGTCTTGCCCCAGAAGAGCCTGTGCTGCAGCAATCACCTTCCGTGGGAAGGGCGGCCCCCGCCCAACAGGATGCTGCCTCCCAGCAGGTACCCAGGCCGGAAAAGGAATCTCAGAGTCAGCCAGAATCAGGATTAAGAGAAGATTCTGTCTCCCAGCCAGGATCCTTCCCAGGAGGGCTGCCTGCAAATCAACAAGAACCTTCATCCACATCTCCAGCCTCGTCTGGCCCCCAAATAGGACCACCTGACTCAACCAAATCGACATCCCCAGAGATGCCAGGACCCTCAAACTCTCTGGGTCAGGAAGCCCCAGCCCAGGAGCAATCTGAACTTGGGGGGAGTTTTACATCCACACAGCAGGAATTGCCCCTCCTTCAGTCAGCTCAGGAGTGGAAGACTTTATTTGAGTGGGTCAAGACCTCTGAGTCAGAACCAGATTTGGAGTCCCAGTTGGAAACCACTTTGCCAGGCAAGTGGCACTTGGGGGCCCAGGGGCAGAAGGGGAAAGCTAGTTATGAAGTGAGGTCGGGATTTGGTGGGTCACCAGACCTCAGGAAGAAATTCAGAGGCCTAAATCACAGACTCTACCAGGATACAGGTGAGTGTAAACCTGGAGTGAGGCCTGAAAGGGAGTCACTGATCCCATCAAGGACAAGGAATCGCCCTGAGCGATAGTACAGCAGGTAGCGTGTTTGCCTGCATGTGACCCACGTAGGTTCAATCCCCAGCATCCTATATGTTCCGCCCTAAGACCCGCTGAGTGATCTCTGAGTGCACAGTCAGGAGTAATCCCTGAGCACAGGCCGGTGTGACCCTAAAACAAACCCCAAAAGACGACAAGGGGACTTAGAGGAGGGCAGGCAGAGCAGGGGATCTCTCCACAATCCCGCCAAAGCTCCCGTCAGCCCCTATTACTGGGGAGGGAAACTGAGGCAAAGAGGGAAAGGACCTGGCAGCCGCTGGGGAGGCCAGGCCCTGGCCTGGAAAACCAACAGTTTGGTTTTCTCCATTTGAAGAAAATCAAACAGAAGGGGGGAGGAGGATAGGGGACAGTGTGCGGGGCTGCTGCCCAAGCCAGGGTCCATTCATCCACCGCCAGCCCCAAACTCCTGGCAGCCACTGCCTGTGCCCCAGCAACATAATACTTTACCCGCTAGTCTAGCCGAGGGAGCAGCCCATGAGGCAGGGGACCTGGCTAGTGTCATTCTGGGGCTCCCCGGGCCCCTTGGCAGGCATGAGGCGCAGGGCAAAGGGTCGTTGGTGCCTTGGTGCTGTGGCTGGTGGTCTGTTGTGAGCAGGGCCAGGATGGAAAGCAGCACTTTGGGAAGAAGCGCTGGTTCTCGAAGTCTCCACACCCTCTCAGGGATGCGCTCCACTAATCCGGGTGGCCGACCGCGAAGCCTCAAGCGCGAGGCAGCTGACTGTGTGCGCGTGCGCGGGGAGGCCCCCCGCGCCGAGGCGGTTGCGTGTGTGCGCATGCCTGAGCCTCGCGCCGCTACTGCGGCTTCCCGCCTTCTCCCAAGCACGTGCCCCTGCCTCCGCAGCTGCTCCTCCCTGAGGGCAACCCCGCGCCAGCGACTTAGTGCGCAGCACTGAGCGTTCCCCGCTCGCCTCTTCGCAGGCGCGGGCGGGAGAAGGCAGAGAAACGAAATCGAGAAGGAAAAACAAAAACCTAGAGACCGAGGATGGGGCGAGCGGGGGCGGGCCAGGAGCGGGGCTTGTTGGCAGAGCCACGCCCTCGGCGCTGGCGTCCCGCCCCTACCTTGAATTGCCCCTGAACCTAACCTGCCCCCTCTCCCCACGCCGCCGCACCGGACGGAAGCCAAGCGGTTGGCTGGTTCTCCCCGTGTTGCCGCGGGCGGGACGGCTCGCGTTCTAGGGGATTCCTTCGTGGGAAGGTGAGTGGAAAGGCCTGACTGAGCGCCAGTGCTTGAAAAGTTCGCGGTTTCTTCGCTGAGGTGACCCATTCCTCCAACCCCGGGGCACTCGCTACTCGCCCAGCCCCAAGGACGCTTTCCGCCGCCTCTGGGGCTGCATTTCTGTGGGTCACGGGCCCTTTAACGCGCGCAACGGGGCGGGGCCAGGCCTGGCCCGGGGGCCTAGGGGCGGAGTCCAGCCCTGGAGTCCGGCTTGGATTGTTAGGGGGCGGGACCCGAACCGAAGCGGGCCCGTGATTGGACCGGATGGGGGCCCGGAGGCGGTGTGTTGGCTGGCCGGCCGCCTGTTGCCTGGAATTGGCTCCCGCCCCGGGATCGCGGAGAATTGATGGAGTTCCCTGGGGAAATGGGGCCCGGCGAGGCCGCCCGGGTCCCAGCCGTGAAGAGGGCCAAAAAAGGCTCCAAGAGCCACAGCCCCCGGCAGTGGCGTAAAGGCAAGGTCAAAGGTGAGCTCATGGGGTTAGGGGGGGCTGGGGGGGGGGGGGAGCATTGGAGCCCGAAGGGGACTAAGGGGACTGCAGACCCACAGGCAGGTTTCGACAGCCTCAGAGCCCAGTCGGGGACCCAAGATCATTGTCACCAGACAGCTGACAGGCACCCCCTCTCTGGAGGAAGGTTGAGGGCGGGGGTGCCTGACCCATGGCCCCTACAAGGGGTGGAGCCTTGGAGCCCTTTGCCTCATTTGGGGAGCAGAGAGGGGGAATGCTGGGATGAGCCACAGTGAGATGGGGGTGATGTGAGAGCAGAATATTCCCCGCCAGGCATAGAGACTGCTGGAGGAATGCGAGTCTCCTGAACCAGGGTGTCAGCTCAGGCACGAATTCTGGCTCCGGTGTGACCCAGGGCTCGGCACTTGCTGAGTGACCATGGAACTCTGCTGCCCTTGGTATGTCCCACATGGGAAAATGACTCAAGTGTCACTTTTCTGACCTTCCCACAATCTTGGGAGGACAATGAAGAGCATTAGAAGCTGTTGCCCAAAAAAGAGGAGTTGAGGGATAAGTCAGGGCAAAGTAGGAAGAAGTGGAAGCCGATGGGCGGGGGGGGGGGGGGGGGGGGGGGGGGGGGGGGGGGGGGGGGGGGGGGGGTACGCACCAGGCTCTTCACTCCTCACAGCAGCCCCAACCGCCTCTCCTGGTTGCCTCGTGAGTTCATCCTCTTATTTCAGCCCAGCTTCACCAAGGCAGACCCTTAAGGAAGACCCCTATGGTTGCAATGAAGAGCCATACCCCCTCTCTGGAGAAGGTTGAGGGCGGGGGTGCCTGTCAGTTAGGTTCCACAGGATGTCACACTACTTACTGATCTCTGCAGGCTGGAGACAGACAAAGCCTGTGCTAGCTTTGCACTCCAATTGCATTTGTCAGTTTACTAACAGCAGAAATTCCTGTGTTGGAAAGAAACTGACAGAGCCCCCCCCCCCCCCCCCAGCAATCCCAGGATAAAACTGGAATTGTAAGTGGCTGCAGACCCACAGGCAGGTTTCGACAGCCTCAGAGCCCAGTCGGGGACCCAAGATCATTGTCACCAGACAGCTGCACTGCAGAGCAGACCAGAGTTTAGGATGTGGGTGTGGAAGACCTGTCCCTCAGGCAATGGGCTGTGGGCATTGGGCAGCAGGCTTTCTCTTGCTGTCCTTGGCTGCACTTTAGCTCTAGAGGGTAATGATGGGTGACCTGACTTGTTAGGGCTACTGTGAGCATGGAGTGAGTGTAGTGTTTGGCACTAGCACACAGTAAGCCCTCAGAAAAGGTGGAGGTTATTATTATAGTCCTCCTTAAGAGACAGTGGTTTGGGGCCATGACTGTCTTGTTTACCCTGCATTTCCGGAGCCTGGCATGCCAAGCACATTGGCACTCAAATATTTGTTGGGTTCATTTGTCAAGGAATGTATCAGCTGTCACACAGAGATGCTGCCCTTAGGGTTCTCTTGAGGAGTCCAAATCTCTTCCAACCCAGGGCTGAGCCAGGCCGACTCACAAGCCAATGGGCCCACCTACTCACAAAGTCTCATTCCCCCAAGCTCCAAGATCTGCCTGTCATTTCCTGAGGTCCTGCCCTGGTGCCAGGCCTCAACTGAGTGAATCAGCCAGTGCCGTGCTGCCCCAAGGGCATGCAGGCTGTGTGGAGCAATCCAAGGCATCGGTTTGATCTTGCCAGTAACTGGATGACGTTAGCCTCATTATGCTTACCCCATTTTCCAGATGACAACAACTGGGCCTTTGAGGAAACAATGCGTCATCTCAGTCTCCTTAACCTCACCAGAGAGGGCAGAGACAGCCACACAGCCTCCCGGGGAGCAGGGAGTAGACGATCTGCAAACTGCTATTCCCCTCCTTGGTTCTGGACCCTAAAGGCCCAGTCTCACTCATTCATTCCTGAGACACCCAGTCTGGGGATGGGCCTGCTCATAGTTGAGCTCAGTACACAGGCATAACATAAATAATCCCACAAGTCAGACATGAGTATAAACTGAGAAATTCAAGAAGGGAATCCTGAGAAAGTATCTGAGGGAGACTTCCCAACCAGGTGACATTGGGTCCAAGGATGAGCATGTGCTGATGTCTGGGCAAGGGGGAAGGGACAGATGGGAGACAGAATGAGCAGAGACCTCGAGGCCCATGGGAGAAAACCACTGCAGGGCAGAGAGAGATCAACAGGGGACAGGAGGAGAGAGGTGGCTGAGAGGCCAAGGGACCACTGCCAGGGTTTGTGGCTTTATCCTGGCAAGATGAGGGAGACAGGAATGTGGAAGGGTTAGGAGTGTGTAACCAGATTTAAGTCTGCAGAAGATCCCCTGGGGGTCAGAGAGGTAGTACAGGGATTATGGCGCTTGCCTTACATGTGACTCACCTGAGTTTTATCTCTGGCCCCACATAAAGTCCACCAAGCCCCACCAAGACTGAGCCCTGAGCACCTCCAGGTATGACCCAAACCACCTACCTCCAAAAAATTAAATAAATAAATAGACCCTAGGCTGCTCTGGGGTTAGGGAAGAGGCTGAGGGGACATAACCAGTCACAGTGTTATAATCATCTGAGTGAAGCAATGAAGGTGGGAAGGAGAGCCCAGTTCCAAAGATTTCTAGAGGTTGGAAGAGACAGGACGGAAGATAGGTTGGAGGGGGGCAGATGTCACCAGGGTGCTGCTCTGGATCCTGGCAGATGGAAAAACACACCACACACATACCCATGCACACAGACTGGGACCAGACACATACACACCCAGTCTCCCAGGCTGGACAGAACAGACACTCAGACTCAGCAGACATATGGATATTGGCAGCACCCACCAGCCTGCCTGCAGACACGCAAAGAGACAATCCCAAGGCGTGGCTGGAGACAGTCCAGCAGTTAAAACACAAGCCAAGCATCCATCAGACACAAGGTTCGATTCCCAGCACATTGTCCCCAGAACATCACCAGGAGCAGACCTGGAGGCCCCTGAGCACTGGTGGCTATGGCCTTGGAAGTCCCCAGAACTATCTGTGACCCGTGTATCTCTGGCACCACATGGTACATGTGTGAATCACTGGCCCAGTTGGCGAAGATTTGCTAGAAGGGCCCCTGGGCCTCCTGAGAACTGCTTGGAAGACCCCTCTCCCGCCACCCCTGCGCGTGCACACACACACACACTCACACAAAACAACATAAATGAAGAAAAGTGCTGAAATACCCACCCACAAAGAGGAAACAGCTGGCGTCATCCACAGGAGCCCTGTGGACACGGCCTCAGTGACCAGCCTACAGCTCACACAAGACAGGTAGACATGTAGCTACGCAGACACCTCAAGGAGATAAGCAGCACCCCCTTTGCTGCCCAGTCATCCTAGGTGGTCCCTTCACCTCTCTTAGTTGCAGTTTTCTCATCTTCCAGAAGGGATGAGAATGGTCCCCACAATGTGGGTGGATGAACTGAGTTATTTCACAAAAGGCACCTAAATAGAACAGTGCCCGGCCCTCAGCCAACCCATTTCCTCCAGCCACCCCCTGCTTCCTTCCTCATGGACTTTCCCACCCTGCCCCCTCTCCAGAGACCTAAGTCCAGGCTGGGTCTGACTGACCAGTGGCTCTTTAGGACATAGGGCCCAGGCAGCAGGACCCTGCTGCCCTACCTCTGCCCCAGTCCTTGTCTTGGCTGCAGCGGTCCTGCCCCTGCCCCAGTGCCCTCTGCATAGGATTTTTGGGATACTCCTGGCAGTCTCGACGCCTCTTCCCAGTATAGCCCCTGGGGAACTGCCTGGAACAGGGCAAAGGGCAAGGCCCTAAAGGCAGGAGGCTGTGCCCCATGGCTTTGGGCAAACACCATCCTGGCCTTTCTCTAGCTCGCTAGCCTACAGGTGGGGGTGGATAAGAGTAGCTTAGGAAATAGGAAACCGCAGAATTGCGGTCCAACGTGCAGTGACTAGCAAACACTGGCCACGTGCCAGGCAATGTGGCAGGGCTGGGATATCACAGGTCATAAAGAAAGGTTCTGACCCTCGGGGAGCTGCCGTCTACTGCAGGAACAGAGGAAACGGCGCACGTGGTCACCTGGACCAGATGCTAGTGAAGTGCCACCAAGAAAGGGGCTCCCACACCCTTGGCAGCAAGGCCATCTGTGGATGTGGCCCCAGACCGCACCAGGCACCTTTTTGCTTGGGCACATGTGCTCAGCGAGTGCCCAGGCACCAATTCACAGCTGCCCCAGCCTCTGCATATCCATCACACTGCTGAGGTTCTTCCTCTCCCAGGCTCCTGTCCATCCCCCGATAAACTCTTAGGCCATGTCTGTCCCCTCTGCAGGGGACATTTTCTAAGAATATTACCCCAAGCTGTCTCTGGAGCAGAGAGGTCTCACCTGCAGACCAGACAGCCGCCACTGAGGCCTCGTGCCTAACCTGTATTTGTGATTCTCCATTCTGGTTCCTCCACACCAGGAAGCAAGGCAGCTCCAGGAAGCCTGGGTCTGCTGCTGGGGAGCAAGAAGCGATTCTGTAATAGCGCATGGGGGGCATTCCTAGGAAGGACAGCTCCGCCTGACAGCCGAGAGCCTGGAGAGGCTCGCTCTCCACTGAGCTGCCCCTCAGTTAGGGATAAAGTAACAGAAGAGCAGGCCAACAGACTGTGGAGAAGCAGGTGCTCTTGAAGCCCCCTTGAAGTTTCCCCTACTTTCAAGGCACCTACCCTGCACGGGAGCACCACACAGTAGGGCCTCTGGCTCAGGGCCCTGCTGATCTTGGCCCATCCTTAATTGACTTTTGTTCTCCCAGAAGAGATAAGCGGGGCTGGCTCCAGTCTTCCCCCCAATAGCTGGGGCTGACTGTTGCCAGGGCTGCCAGCAGGTGGATGCTGAGGAAAAGAAGGGCAGCCTGGGTGGGGAAGCACAGCTTGTTTGTGATGGGTGGGGGCAGGACTCAAGACTCAGGAGAACGCTGGGGCCAAGACTCCCAAGTGAAAGAGGAGGGGCTGGGGGCTTCACATTCTGGATAGTTGAGGGAGCTGGGTCTGGGAGCTTATGCTCCTGGGTCTGAGAAAGGAGGGGCCTAGGGGCTTTTGCTTCTGGGTCTGAGGGAGGAAGGTGCTGGGGGTTTACACTGCTGGGTCTGAGGGAGGAGGTGCTGCAGGCCTAGGCTCCTAGTTTCCAGGAACCAGGGCTGGGATCTGCCAGTGAACTGGGCTGAGTGGGGGCAGGGAGCTGGACTCCGAGCTGTTTACAGCACGTGGTGCTCAGTGTCCTTTCTGGGTGGGAGGTGGAGCGTGGCCACACCCTGGGCAGGCCTGGCCCCTCCCCTGGTTTATCGCCCCAGGCAGCTGCTGACACTAGCCATAGTCCAGCTGTCCAGCCTTCCAGGCAGACCCGGCCGGGAGCTCAGAAGAGGCCTGGAAGGGGTGAGTGCACGGTCCACCACACACTGGGACAGGAATGGCCGCTGCTGGACCCCAGGGCATGTCAGGGACAGGAAACTCCTAAGGATCAGGGGGCCATATCCCCCCAAGCCAGGCAAGGGCTGGGTGAATGTCAGGAGTCACAGTCTTTGCAGCAGAGGGCTGCGACCCCATCAAGTGGGACTAGCTGGGTGACAGGCCGAGGATGCAGGAGTGGTATCACCAGGGACCTAAAGCGCAGGAGGTCAGGCACAGTCCAAGGTAGGGCAGGAGGCCCCAACTCCAGAGCCCTGAGACTGGGGTTTGGATTTTGCAGTGCCAGTTGCAGTGCTGCATTTGACTCCCAAGTTACACCTCTGAGCCTCAGTCTTCTCAACTATAAAATAGGGATGATGCTGTTATAATAGCCGAAACTTGAACCAAGACAGTCAAGGTCTCGAGGTTACCCAGGGCCACGTGAGCAAATCCAGAAGGCTCTTAACACAGGCCTGGCACTGAGTAAGCGCATGGTCACGGGCAGCAATGAGGACTGTGGTTCAGACAGAGGACAGGGCAACATAGGCTGCTAGAAGATCAGGACCCTGAGTGGAACTAGTTTTGGGGTCCCATAGTGGAACCTGGAGCTGAAATTTGCAGAGAGTTCAAAGGCACCTTAGAGGGGCCAGAAGGGTGGGGGTGGGGGGCAAGCAGGAGAGCCTTGTCTAGTTTCCGACCTAGAATTAGGATTTCGTACTTCGACACCAAGCAGGTGGGAAAAGGGTGGGAAGGGCTGAGCTCTCCCAACTTCTGGCGACACCTGCAGCCTGCAGGCTGCGATCATCTCAGGGATGCAGACTCCTCAAGCCTCAGAGGGGGCTGGATCCTGGGAGGCTCGGTGGGGAGAGAAGCCTCAACTCTCAGGGTCTCGGCAGGACGAAGGGGCAGGGATAGAAGTGCTGGAGCTACTAAGATCTTGGTCAATCAACCACATGATTGACCAAGATCTCAGACCCCTGGATCCAAAAAGGAGGAGAGGGAGGGGAGGTATGGGTCTGAGGAAGAGGGGTGTGAAGCAGGACTCCTGAGTCCAAAGAAGGTAGGGGCTGAGGGTCGGAAGTCCAGCTCCTGAGAGAGACCTGCATCCCTAGACTCGTGTGTCCCTGGACTTGTGGCTCCCTGGGGGCAGGGATGGGACCATAGACTAGGAAGCTGGCGATAAGATGATTCCTGATAATGAGGAGAAGCTCAAGGTCTTGAACCTCCTAGGTCTTGAAAGAGGAGACTGGGTCCTGGACCAGTGAGTCTGAGGGAGGAGAGGCTGGGGGCCTGAGCAGCTGGAACAGAGGGAGGAAGTTGGGGAAGCCCCTATTCCTGGTCCTGTCCGAACAGGAGGCGCTCCAGCCCTGCCTAACAGACCTCCCTACCTGCCTGCAGCCTCGCGGGTCGCACGCAGCATGGACCTCCACACCATGACACAGTCGCTGGTGACTCTGGCAGAGGACAACATGGCCTTCTTCTCGAGCCAGGGCCCTGGGGAGACAGCCCGCCGGTTATCGGCTGTGTTTGCAGGTATTCGGGAGCAGGCGCTGGGGCTGCAGACCCCACTGGCCAGCCTGCTGGGCACAGCGCACCTCTTTGACCTGGACGCTGAGACCCCAGCCAACGGGTACCGCAGCCTGGTGCACACGGCCCGCTGCTGCCTGGCCCACCTGCTGCACAAGTCGCGCTATGTGGCCTCCAACCGCCGCAGCATCTTCTTCCGCACCCACCACAACCTGGCCGAGCTCGAGGCCTACCTGGCCGCCGCCATCCAGCTCCGCGCCCTGGCCTACTACGCACAGCAGTTGCTGACCACCAACCAGACTGGGGGGCTCTTCTTCGAGGGTGAAGAGGAGGTCCTGTCCACGTTCCTGCGCGAGTATGTCAGGCTCTACAAGGGTTGCTTCTACGGCCGCTGCCTGGGCTTCCAGGTGAGCCCCCAGGGCTGCGGGGGCCCCACACGACCACTGCCTGCCTGTGCTTTGAGATCAGGACACAGACAGGTATCCAGAAGAGAGGTCATCTGGCACCCAGACAGGGCGGTCCCAAAGGTCTCAAACCCACCCCTGGAGGCCCTTGGCATTGGAGCCCGAAGCAGGTCCTTAGCATTGCACTCTAAGGTCACATAGAAATCCTTACCTCCTATAGTCAGGCCCCTAACGGGCAGAGGGGTGTGAGCCCACTTTACAGAGATTCCAGGGGAGGGCTGCAGCCGCTGCTGATGGGAGGTGTAGAGTACAGGGGTAGAGACTTTGGACTTTGAGGGACCCACACCTGGCAGGGCTACCCCTGGCTTTGTATTCAGGGGTCACTTCTGGCTTGGGGGAACCGTAGGTCGTACTGGGAATCATACCAGGGTTGGCTGTGTGCAAGACAAGCTCCTTGCTCTCTGTACTTTCTCTCCAGGCATAGAATCACAGGCTTATTTCATTTTGTTTTGGGGCCACAACCAGCAATGCTCAGGGGGTACACCAGTCTCTGCACTCAGAAAACGAGGATCATATGGGGTGCGAGGGATCGAACCCAGGTTGGCTGTATGCATGGCAGATGCCCTGTCCACCATATTGTCTGCCTTGCCCCAGAATCTCAGGCTCTAAGCCCTCAGAGGCTCCCCCAGCCCTGACCTGGAAGCAGACCTGGTCCTCTCTGTCCATCCCAAACCACCCACTACCATGACTCAGCCCTAAGGTCCTTGGAGTCAAAGGAAAAGTAATTTGGAAGGCCAGAGAGATACTACAAGGGTTAAGGCACTTGCTTCGTATGCTGTTCACCCCTCTTCCATCCCCCGTACCCCGTATGTTCCCATGAACACCAGGAGTGAGCCCTGAACACCACTGAGTGGGAGCCCAATTCCCCACACCCAAAAAGAAGCTGGGGGACTCAGCAAATTGGCTGTCCTTGGGTCCCCAAGGTCATCCCTGGTCCCCCAGGCCCCAGCAGCATCGGGGAACCCCAGCAGCAGGCGTGTGTAGCTATTCAGGCTCTCTGAGCCTCCCCCAGCCCCAGAAATAGCCGGGCTTGGCAGTCCCAACCCCCATGCTACCTGCCCTTTCCGCGCTTCCCTTCAATCTAGTCATCCTCCTAGACCCAGCCCAGTGCCCTTCCTCTAACCCTTGAGGATCAATCAGCCCAGCTGGGCCTGTGGCACCTCCTCCATGTCCATGTCACGACCTTGGAGTGTGGCGAGAGACCCTGGGGCTGCCTGAGCCAGTCTCCCGGCCACAATGCCAGACACCCCTGCGATCTCTGGCCTTCTGGGCCCCCAGCCAAGGACAAGGCCGTGCCAGACAGCTGCAGCTCCAGCAGAACAGGCAGCTGCCGTGCAGGCCCCACTCAGACCCTGCTCCGCTCCTTGTCCCCCACCCCTCAGCACTGGTTAAATGAACAGGAGCTGGCTGGCTCGTGGCCTTCCCATCCTGTGACCTGTGTCCCATCTGACCCCTCTGGCAGCTCTGGCCTCTCTAAGCCTCAGGCAGGCTCCCTGTGTGGCTGGATTGGGAGGGGTGGGGGAGGGGACACTCCCAGAAGTGCTGGGTGCCCATGTGGTGCCAGGGCTAGAACCCAAGGCTCCTGCTTGCAGAGCCTGCCCTGTCTCTGAAGTCTGGCCCATAACCAGGTCCCTCATCTGCCCGTCATTGTCAGTGTCCTCTCTGATTGTCAGGAAATCCCTGCTTACTCCCAGCCCACAGCCCTTCCCCTAGAGCCCAAACCTCGACCCCAAATCTGCAGTAAACTCCAACAGCTGGAGCCACACCCCTGTACCTGACTTGCCTTTTCCAGGCAGGGCACAGTCTCACTCTCCCCAGGCCGTCCCTCCCTCGCCAGTCCTGACAGCTGGTTAGCTCTCACCATCACTCTGTCTCCTGCCTCGGGCCTGCTGGGATTCCAGTGTCTTTATTCGTTTCATCTTTTGGACCATGTAGGGGCCTGGAGCAGGGCCTGGCATATAGTAAGGCCTCACTAAATGGCTATGGGCCACCCCGTCCTACCCAGGTCCCCTAGACCCTGTCCTTGCTCCTGCTGCCCTCATCCTGGGCAGCGGGTGACGCGGCCATCTCTCTCGGCAGTTCACGCCGGCCATCCGGCCCTTCCTGCAGACCATCTCCATCGGGCTGGTGTCTTTTGGGGAGCACTACAGACGCAATGAGACGGGCCTCGGTGAGTCCCTGCAGCCCCTCACGGCCCCCTTCCAGCCCTCCCAGCCCACCAGGCTCCCTGACATGCCTCATGACCTCCAGGTGTGACAGCCAGCTCCCTTTTCACCAGCGGCCGCTTCGTCATTGACCCAGAGCTGCGGGGGGCGGAATTCGAGCGGATCACACAGAACCTGGACGTGCACTTCTGGAAAGCCTTCTGGAACATCACTGAAATCGAGGTGCTGTCGGTGAGCAGCCGCCTACAAGGGCCCCAGCCTCGGACCTGGGGCCATCGAGGCCCAAGACCATTCAGAGCCACATCTGGCCTCTGCAGACTACTGGCGCAGGGAGGACACTGAAAGGGCTGGGGGTCAGAGGGAAGATCTGGGGTAACCCCCAAATGCAACCTCTCCCCAGCACCTTTTCTCCCCCGCCACCCCCCAGTCTCTGGCAAACATGGCCTCGGTCACCGTGAAGGTAAGCCGCCTCATCAGCTTGCCGCCCGAAGCCTTTGAAATGCCGATGACCGCTGACCCCAAGCGCATGGTGACCATCTCACCCCCCTTGGCCCACACAGGCCCGGGGCCTGTTCTTGTTAGGCTCATCTCCTACGAACTGCGAGAAGGACAGGTAGGGCCCCAGCTCGGCCAGCCCCAGGATGCCTGGGCAACCTCCCCTGCTCCCTGCCCCTCACCCTCCTCCCCCATTGCTCATTCCCGCCCTCTCCTGGGTCCCCAAGCTTGTCGCCTTGGCAGGGTAAGGCCCAGGCTGGCCAGCCCAGCCTCCCCCCATCCCCACCACAACCTCCTTCCTCCCACCCCCCCCCCCCCCAGGACAGCAAAGAGCTCAACGACCTGGTGAAGCCCGAGGGGCCCTGGATCCTGGACCGGTGGCCCCGCCCCATGAAGGTGGCCCGCTCCAGGGCCCTGGTCGTGCACATCCATGGGGGAGGCTTCGTGGCGCAAACCTCCAAATCGCATGAGCCCTACCTCAAGAGCTGGGCGCAGGAGCTGGGCGCCCCCATCGTGTCCATTGACTACTCACTGGCCCCTGAGGCACCCTTCCCCCGCGCGCTGGAGGAGTGCTTCTACGCCTACTGCTGGGCCGTGAAGAACTGCACCCTGCTGGGTCAGCCTACCCCACGCAGCCCCCCCACAGTCTCCCATCTCCCCCGCTGGCTGCCTACTCGGACCTGCATGAACCCTGACCTCCGCTGGGGATAGAGGCCCCGAGGCCACCATTCCCTACCCTCTTACCTCTCAGTTTCCCTGGAGGGGCCTGCTATCAGGGTGTCTCCACGCCCCAACATGTGCCAGTCCCCCAACCACTGCCCCCCCCGGGAGATAAAGCCTGCCTCAGTCTCCCCATCTCTCCACTAGTTAACTAGAGCTTGGGGTGGGAGCCCCCTCGAGAGGCCAGAGCTCACGTGCCTCCCCCTGACCATCCTCTCTCCAAACCAGGCTCCACAGGTGAGCGGATATGCCTGGCAGGGGACAGCGCTGGCGGAAATCTCTGCCTTACCGTGTCCCTCCGGGCAGCATCCTACGGGGTGCGGGTACCCGATGGCATCATGGCCGCCTACCCAGCCACAATGCTACAGACCACTGCCTCCCCCTCCCGCCTGCTGAGCCTCATAGACCCGCTACTGCCCATCAGCGTACTCTCCAAGTGTGCCAGTGCCTACGCTGGTAAGGGCCACATGCCCCGGGGACATGGGGCAGGGAGACAGAGGAGCTGGTAGGGAAGAGGGACTCCTGGCATGGTCAATCCTTAGAGGCACCCGGGCCTGGTGTTCCAGAGGGTGGAGCGGACCCCAGAGAGCAACTCGGTCCCACTCCGGTTGCTCGGCAGGTGGGGAGGCTGAGAAGCAGTCCACCTCCGAGGAGGCGCTGGACATGCTGGGGCTGGTGCGCCGGGACACAGCCCTGTTCATCCGAGACCTCCGCCTGAGTGCCTCCTCATGGCTCAACTCCTTCCTGGAACTCAGTGGACAGAAGGTCCCAAAGACTGAGGACAGCAAAGCAGGCAAGTGGTACCCTCCCCACAGACCCAGGGATGGGAAACTGGCACCCCAGAAGTACTGGGGAGAGGAAGCAGAGATCATCTACCCAAAAGCCTAATCCCATCCTGGCCCCTACACAAAGCCTGGAGTTTTCCACCACTGGTCACATCCTAGAAATTCCCAGATTCCTGGCCCCTCAGCCTTCAGGGTCTCGGCAACAGCCTGTGCTCCCAGACAGCCCGTCTCAGACAGACAGCCTGGGCGCTCCCACTGCATTGGTCCCCAAACGTACAAATCCCCCTGGGTCCTTCTCAGTTCTCCCAGAAGCCACAAGGGACTTCGGAGTGTGGTGTGCGCCCCCTCTCTTTGCCCCCCTCTCCCGCTCCCCCTTGCAGGCCTTGGGAAGGGGAAGCCTGAGATTCCCAGCCTTGGGCAATGAATGGCAGGGCCATTTTGGATCACTTTGCTCCCACCTTTTCAGCTCAGGCAAATGAATGGGTGCTCTTCTGAGTAATGGGAATTGCCTGTGGAAAAGCAGATGCAATTCCTATTTAGAAAAACTTTCCTGGGGCAAAAGTAATAGGGTGTTTGCCTTGCACACAGCCAGCCTGGGTTCAACCCCTGGCATCCCATATGATCCCCCAAGCACCGCCAGGAGTAATCCCTGAGCATTGCTGGGTGTGACCAAAAAAGAAAAAAAAAGAAAAGCTTTCCTATTGACTATGATTCACTTTGAGTTTTAAACTTTAGGATATTCTAATGGCAACAAACAGGCGTAAAACCAATTCAAAGGGAATTGAATTTTAGCACATAAACCACTGGCATTAGGTTTTTCCTTGAAGGATAAAAGTGAGAGGGGTCAGGCCAGAGTGATAGTACAGCAGGTAGAGTGCTCGCCTTCCACATAGGCAACCTGGGTTTGATCCCATATAGGGTCCCCTGAGCACTGCCAGGAGTAAGTCCTGAGTGCAGAGCCAGGAGTAAACCCTGAGCATCACTGGGTGTAGCCCAAAAAACAAACCCAAGAAAAAGGGATAAGGTTTTCCCTAAAGACAGACACACACTGCAGTCTACCTCCATACTATATCTGGCTCTGGTCCTGGGCATTCCTGAGCCCCAGGTGTCTGGCTTGCCACCTTGGTGAAATGACAGTAACAGCACCTGCTTCAGGAAGTTGTGGCCAGGGCTACTCATTCCTGCTGGTGTCTGTGCCCTGGAGAGTTCTGGGAGGTGACCCTCTGGGTCACAGAGTATTATGCAGCCTTCCTTCCCACAGTGCAAGCAGAAATACACACACACACACACAATCACCACCAGTCTGGACACCTGAGTGCTTGGTCTGGAGAAGATCAGAACATGGGCCCCAGGACTCTCAAGCCACCCCCCCCACCAACAAGCCTTGCATGCCTGGCAGGCATGAACATGTTCACTAGCCCCCTTTGCTTTGTGCATCCAGGGGTGCAGCCCAGAACCTCCCATGTGGTAAATAGGCTGTCCCTCAGCACAGTCCCCAGCCCCGCCTGTTCCACCTGTACCCCATCACAACCCCTGAGTCGGGTGACCGTCTACTGAGGCCAGGGGGCAGCTGGACAGGCTATCAGACCCAAATAAAACCTCAGTGCCTCCCAGGCCACAGCACCCAATTCTCCGTTTTTGCTGCCTCCCAGGAGAGCAGGGCTTGAGGGGAGAGGGTCCCCCCAGGGTGGTGCTCAGGTTTCCTGGGGCCCCTCTTGGCAGTGGTTCTGTGTCAGAGCCTGAAGATGAGGTGCTGCTCCAGCCCTGTGGTACTGAGGGTACCTGAGCCACCGGTGGGGCTCGGGATCACCTGGTGCTGGGGATCAGACTAGGGTTATCTGAATGCCTCACCCCTATCTGAGTTCTCTGGCCCCAAGTCACAAATGTCTATCCCCATTGTACAGAGGAGGAAACTGAGGTATCCAGAGGCAAACCAGCCTGCCATGGCTAGGCACCACCTCCAAGATGACATGATTCCCAGCCTTTCCCTTGGCCATTAAAGCTTGGGACTCTTTCCCCAAGGAGAGTGTTGGGAGTGAGAGGGGACGCTATCACCCTAAGATATAGCTCGAGAGGCACTGCCCTGGGGCTGGAGCAATAGCACAGAGGGTAAGGCATTTGTCTTGCACGTGGCTGACCCAGGGTACAATTCCCAGCATCCCATATGGTCCCCTAGCACCGCCAGGAGTAATTCCTGAATGCAGAGCCAGGAGTAACCCCTGTACATCGCTGGGTGTGACCCAAAAAGTAAAAAAAAAAAAAATGCACTGCCCTGCGGTGACCCCGCACCCAGAGGCCAGAACCCAGCCTGCGCGCAGGATGCAACACTGACCACTAATGGCACGCGTATCCCATACTGTCCACAGAGCCCATGCGCCGCAGCGTGTCTGAAGCGGCGCTGGCACAGCAGCACGACCCGCTGGGCACCGACTCTCTCAAGAATCTGACGCTGCACGACTTGAGCCACAAGGGCAGCTCTGAAACATCGGACACCTCGGAGTTGTCGCTGTCGGCGGAGACTCTCGGCCCCTCCAAGCCCTCAGAGGTCAACTTCCTGCTTGGCTCTGAGGATGCGTCCCTGGATGCCAAAGACGCCAAAGAAGGGCCGCAGCTGATGGATAGACCCAAGGGCGTGAACTCCGCCTTCCCCCCGGGGTTCCAGCCCAGGTTCTCCAGCCAGGGCACCCCGCAGATGCCCCTCGACTCGTCCCCCATCGCCAAGAACCCCTTCATGTCCCCGCTGCTGGCGCCCGACAGCATGCTGCAGATGCTGCCTCCCGTGCACATCGTGGTGAGTGGCTGGGGGGGGGCGGTGCTGGTGGAGGCATGGGGCAGGGAGGGGGCGCTCACCGCCTGGCCCCCTTCCCCCCACCCCGTGCAGGCGTGTGCGCTCGACCCCATCCTGGATGACTCGGTGATGCTGGCACGGCGGCTGCGGGGTCTGAACCGGCCGGTGACGCTGCGCGTGGTGGAGGACCTGCCACATGGCTTCCTGAGCCTGGGCGCGCTGTGCAAGGAGACGCGGCAGGCGGCGGCGCTGTGCGTGGAGCGCATCCGTCGCATCATCACACCGCCCGCGTCCTCTGCGCCCCTCTGCAGGTCCGAGGGCCCGGCCACGCCGGCCGTGTGAGGCGAACATCGGGGAGGGGGACGCGGCACTAAAGTCTCTGGCTCCTATCCGCACCGGCCTCCATAGTGAATGCGCTCCCGGAGGGGCTGACGGTCCCCCAGGAAGGGGGCTCATGGTGAGGGTCCCACCCCATGACCCGCCTTCCGGCCCGTACTGGAGGTGAGCGGTGCCTTAAACTGGGGAGGGGAGGGAGGCGGTGCCCAAAAGCTCAGACCCTGGCCTTGGGGTGGTGACACCCAGAAACCCAGGCTTGAGACCCCCGGACCTGCACTCACTGTCTGCTGCTGCTGCTGCGACCGCCCGCCTAGCAGGGCGGTTCTTTTGTTTGTAAATAAAAGTATTTCATTAGTTGGGCCTCGCGCCAGTCGTCTGGGATGCGCCCACCAGGGGGCAGCACCGCGCAGGTTGTGAGAACCCTGGAACTGGACGTCCCGAGGTAGGAACCAGACCGGGATTCAGACCTAGCCCTGGGGAGGGAGCCCTGGGCTATTCGCACCTCCCAGTTTAGTTCCGGCCCCAGGGCCCTCTGGCGGAAGGGACCACCGCAGGTCCCAGGGACTCAGCAACAGAAACTCCGTGAACAGGTGCAAAACAGACAAACCAGCAACAAAACCGGACGCCTAGAAACGGCGAGCCGATTCTAGGCTCAGGCATGTGCTTTTCAGGCAAGAGGCCCAAAGCCACTAATGGGGAAATTCACCCTTGAACACTGCAGTCCCGGCCCAAAACTTCAAGCTAATCATATTAGATAACCAAACTTCACCCTGAGGCTCAGAAGGCCAAGTTCTACCCAACTGGGGCAGCCAGGTACCTTAACAGGCCTGGCCTGGGGCCAGCCCAATAGTACAGTGGGTAGTATGTTTGCCTTTCACGCCCTGTATCGATCCCCAGCATCCCATATGGTCCTGGGAGCACCGCCAGGAGTAATTTCCTGTTTGCAGAGCCAGGAATAACCCCCTGCAGGGTGCAACACCCTTCCCCCCCCCCCAAAAAAAAAGGCCTGTCCTTGGAATGCCCTGGGTTTGGGCAAAGCTTACTTTTTTTTTTCTTTGGTTTTTGGGTCACACTCGGCGATGCACAGGGGTTACTCCTGGCTCTGTACTCAGGAATTACTCCTGGAGGTGCTCGAGGGACCGTATGGATGCTGGGAATCGAACCAGGGTTGACTGCATGCAAAGCAAATGCCCTACCCGCTGTACTATCACTCCAGCCCCCAGAGCTTACTTCTGTGGTGCATCACTTCCCTTATCCTGGACTCAGTGTGTGGGGGTGAAGCCCAGGCCTCTCAGGTTTCAACTAGAAGGACTTCATAGAGATGGTGCTCTGAGCACAAAAGCAGAAGACATGCAGAGTCATGCATGTGCTCAGATCCAGGTCTGTGCCCCGCACAGCTGAGGCGCATTTGTACACTAAGTGGAAATGGAGGCAGCAGGAGCCTCTAAGGGCTGGATGGGGGTGGAAGGGGGGGGCGGGGAGGGATACACTAGGGCCAGAGATGAACAAAGGGACAAGACTGACACCTGGCAGCTGAAGGAAGCTGGTGACAAAAAGGGCCTGGTGGCACAGAGGAGCATGGAGGGAGGGGTAAAGGAGCCCCAGAGACCTACGGGGGGGAGTAAGCAGGACTGAGCATGGGGTGACAGTTATCACCCCATTCTCAGAAGGAAGAGTCTGGCCAGGGGAGGTAGACAACGAGGCCTCTTACTGGGAGAGGCTCAGGGTTGGACAAAGAGAGGGGGGAGGGTACTATTGGCCAAAGGTCAAAAGGCTTGGGGAGACAAGAGTGGGGAACAAGTGAACTACAAGACCGAGGGGGAGTAGCACTCACTCCTGGAGTTGAGGGACACAAAGCTTCCTAAGAGTGGTTGCATGACATGGGCGGGCAGCTGGGACAGACGGTTCTGCACCCCTAATCCCGGTGGCCAATGAGCAAAGGACCAGGACGCTGAAAGAAGGCCCTGCAGCGGAGAGCTGACAGCAAAGGCTGTGAAGCTATGGGAATGTCCTGGCAGGAGTGGTCTCCAGCAGCCCCTGTCGTCTGGGGCGCAAACATACCCCACCTCCACTCTCTCCACCTTTGCTCCGTACCTCCAGCTCTTCCGAAGTCCAGCTCTAATAATGCCCCTGCCCTGAAAACCCCTTACTGGTCACGCCAACCTCCCCCCGACCCATCCCGCACAAAGGCTAAACCTGTAAAAGGGTAAACCCTGCCAGTCACTGTAAGGGTCGTCCTCTCTCTGACCCCGCTCCATGAGGGCGGGTCCCTGGACTGACTCAGCGCGGTCAGCACCAGGGCCAGCGCAAAGCCTGGCGGACCGGAAACCTCCAGAAACTTTCAGGTTCCGGGTGGGTGAGTGTGTGTGAGCCATGCGGGAGAGGGCGAGGAAGTCGGTGGGTGAGGTAATTCATGAGTCAGGAAGGACGGAAAGGACGGGTGTGCGGGACAGGTCGGAGCAGACAGGAGTCAGGGCTGGGGCGGGAGGAATGGATGCAGGGATGAGTCTCGCAAGACGGGGCATCCCGGACTATTTCTCTAACCAAATGAACGGGCGCCCGGGCTAGGCTCCCACATCCGCCCTCCAGCTCACCAGGCTTCCTCCCCATTCCCATCCGGGCTACGTCCTTCCGAGCTAGACCGGGCACGGAAAGGGCTTACCGTCCACACCCGCAGAACCTGTTCCCGCACCGGCCGGTTCTAGCCTCCTAGGTGCGGGTGCCCAGCTTATTGGTCAACTGGAGGGACTTCCAAAGATTGGCGTCTTTGAGGACCTATCGCCGCCCGAGTTGGGCCGTGAGCCCCGCCTACTCGGGAAATGCGCCCCGAATGGCCCAAAGGGAAGAAAGCCGAGTGCCTATTGGCTGGAGTATAGTGATTGACATCCTGGGAGCTTATCACGAACCGGATAAGCTCCAAGGGGCGGGCTGAGAACTAAGTGGCCAGCCGGCCCTTGAATGGGGAATTCTGGCGCCTGGCAACGGCTCTTCTTCGCCTGCCTTAACCTGGTCTGAAGGAGGAAGTCCTTGGTCCTGAAAAAGGAAGGGGCTGGGTGACCAGGGGACAGTAGAGCTTAGAGAAGAGGAGCGGGGATCTTGACTTCAGGGTCTGAAGGAGGAGGCCGAGGTCCTGGCTGCGTGACCCTGAGGGTTAGGGTTCTGAATCTTATGTGACTATGGGGTAGGAGTCAGGACTTGGTCCCAGATTTGCCTGAGTGGGGCTTGGACAAGAGAGGAAGGAAGAGGCTAAGGCGAGCTCTGACCAGGAATTGCCCTTCCTCATCCTGGAAGGGAAGCCGAAGGTGGGGCGCTCCCTTCTACTGGAACCCAGGGCGGGAGGAGCCTTGAGACTCTGGAGGAGACAAAGAGGAAAACTCAGAAACCAAAAGCACATTAGAATATTGAAAAATGAGCCAGAAGGCTTGATGGGCTGGGGAGCAGGCTTTGCACATAGGAGACCCGAATTTCCCCGCAACTCACAGCCCCCCCCAAAAAAAAACTACTAGGAGTAGCCCCTAAGCACTGCCAGATATGATCCATTTAAAAAAAATTAAATTAGGGGCCAAAGCAATAATATAGCAGGTAGGCCACCTGACTTATCTGTGTCTGATCTGGGTTCAATCCCTGGCATCCCATATGGTCCCCCAAGCCCGCCAGGAGTGATCCTTGAGTGCAGAGCCAGGAGAAACCCCTGAGCATTGCTGGGTGTGGCCAAAAAAAACAAAATTCATTAATCTATTGAGGAGCCATAAGAATAGTACAGAGGCAGTAAGGTGCTTGCTTTGCACGTGGCAGACCCAAGCTTAATCATCCACCACCACATATGGACATGGAGCCTCAGTAGGAGTGATCCCTGAACAGAGCCAAAAGTAAGCCCTGAGCATCACTGGATATGGCCCAAACACCCCTCCCCAAATAAAATATTAAAATCAATATAGTAATTACAGTTTTCTTGTGTGGAGTTTGCTGTGGCCAGCTACTGTGCAAAGCATTTGCATGTATAACAATCTCTGGTTTACTTGTAGCACCTCTAAGAGATCATATTATTAGTATTATCGTCTCCATTTTACAAGTGAGATGATGGAGGTCCAGCAAGGGAGGCTAAGGGAGGCTGGAGTTCCCAACAGGAGAGATATGACCCAGAGATGGAGACAGATAAGGGAGACGGGTCAGATAAATGAAAATTTTTAAATGAACAAAGGAGGATAGGGGAACTGAAGACAACAGGGGTTCAGGGAGTTAGGTGTTTGCCCACGCAACTGTCCCTGAACTGCACCCTCAGGAGTGATACCTGAGCACAGAGCCAGGAGTAAGTCCTAGGGGTGATTCAAAAAACAAAAAAAACAAAAAAAAGAGAGAAAGAGAGAGGCTAAGAGGGCAGGAGCTATGGTACAGTGGCAGGGCATTTGCCTTGCACACGGTCAACTCGGGTTCAATCTCTGGCACCTCATAGGGTCCCCTAAGCACCGCCAGGAGTAATTCCTGATCCTGAGTGCAGAGTCAGGAGTAACCCCTGAGCATTGCCAGGTGTGTGTGACCCAAAGAGAGAGAGAGAAAGAGAAGAGAGAGAGGCTGAGAATGGGGGCTCCTGAGGGTAGGAGTTCGAGGTTCTGGCCCAGGACTCCTGCCCCCCAGGGGAGGTGCCTCCCCAGTATTTCCAGCCCTGACCTCCAGGCTTCTCCAACCCTCTCTGCTGTGGGCCTGGAGCCTGCCTGGTTAAAACCAAAAACAGTGATTAGGAGGGGACGGATATGTCATTATTTGATGAAGAGATGACAAAACATGATTCACGGGGTGCCCATGGCCTGGGAGGGCCTTGCCCCACTGCCCGTCAGGTCTGTCCCTCCCCTGCTCGGCCTCTCCGACCCTGGGCACCATCCCTGAGGTCCTGTGCAGTATACGGGCCTTTCTCGCTCTAGGTCAGTTTCCTGTGTCCACCAAACACCCCAGCACAGTTCTGGGTCTTAGGCAGTGGAGGAACCACATCCTCCTCCCACACCCAGCCCGACCCATCTCCCTTTCACCCTCAACTGCTCCCAATGCCCCTGAACCCATCAAGGAGAAACTGAGGCTCACTGGAGTTGGAGCAATAGTACAGCGGGTAGGGCATTTGCCCTGCACGCGGCTGACCTGGGTCCAATCCCTGGCATCCCATATGGTCCCCCAAGCACTGCCAGAAGTGATTTCTGGGTGCAGAGACCCGAGTATCGCTGGGTATGACCCCAAAAAGCCAAAATAATAAGAAAAAGAAACTGAGGCTCATTTGGGTAGAGTCACCCTCCCCCGGGACACCTGTGGGATATGGAAAGGGGGAGCTGAGGAAGGGGGTCTCAAGACACCCCCCCACACACATACCAAA